CAATAAAGCTCTAGTTGTTTGCTCTGCCTTACCCTTTTGCAAACCCACACTTGATTTTCTTTGCATTGAAATGCAATGCCTGTGTCAAGCAATTTTAGCCTCTGTAAACTGAAAGAGATTTCATGTAATAGATTCACTTAAGAATGACCACAACTCTGAAGTCAAAGACATATTACTGTGAAAAATTTGGATTTGTTCAATTTAGATCACTGTGCATTTATTTTGTACTTCAACTTTTGGTCAGTTTGGATTTCACATGCTGCATCTGCCCAGTCACACGGCCTTACCAAATTTTGAAACTTCCTTACAACACTCCAGTACATACTGTAAACAAAAGTTTTAGGCCTAGAGTTTGGAACGTCGGTATAAATAAATTACCCTCTCACGCAGCTAACATATTGAACAGTTGTTAAAATCATAGTCTTCTGGTTGCTCCAATTATTAAGCTGGTTAAGGCAGTAAGTACTTGAGCCCACAGAATGTGAATCATCCAGGTTTTGTCTTTCGTTTGTGCTGATTTTATGGCAACATGGACACTCTAAATAATAAGTGATCCTAGTTTAGGGAAAAGGAAAACCACCCAGAGTTTCCTGCTGAATAGCAGAATTAGAAATACACATGTACGGATTGGGTGCAGACAACGTCAGGGTTGGCTGCAATATCTTCAATATTTCAATCGTCTGTTGACACTCACCAACTGTCACAGATGAAAATGACTGATTGGGCAAAGAATCAGAGGGGGCCAACATCTGCAGAATACTACTTCAAAGAAGACCAGAAGGAAGGAGAAACTTGGCAGAAAAATTAGAAAAGATCTGCAGTACTTGAATATCAACCATTCTGTCAGTTCGTTCTAAAATAACGAGCAATTGTTTTGACTCCACCTTTTCAGTAGTGGCAAATCCAGAAACAATCTGTAGTTTGGCGTAAGTTTATAGTTTCAAACAATGTTGATTCAAGTTTATGAACTCCACACAATGTTTTGACATGTGCTCATTAGATTGCTGTGCCATTAAGCTTAAATGATGAAAAAAAATACAACAGGGTATGCCCTGCTTTCTGGCCTGATTAACATTACACGAGAAAGCAAATGAATAAGAATTCTATTATGTTTTTCTCAGGAACTAATTGCCAGAACATTAAAAGTGACCTTTGGATAGACTAGTAATAACATGCTGCCAAGTAAATCAATTTTATCCTCTATTAATATACTCGGTAAATATTATAATGGTACATGGTTATCAGGACAAATGTATTATTAGTTTTTGTCTTGATATTGTCAATTGTACTAAATAAAAAGTTTCCCACAATATTGAAGTGAATACAACTGCCTTTCTTAAGAACAGTTCCAACAGCAATAAACTAAAAAACAGACATACAAAAATACAAAAGTACAAAATAAATAGAACATTTCTGACCATTTCTGTTGTCGATTTAAAAAAAGACTGTTAATAATTTGTTCAGTAGCATCAATTATGGTGGTGCCAGTTATTAAGAGGGTAAAATGGATAGGAATGCTACAAGTGCATCTTCCAATTAAAAATCTTACTGGAATTAAGGCCAACTTCTATTGCTTTCTCCCTCTTCAGAAACCCACTGCCCCCCAAAAAATTAAGAATCTGAAGTTAGAAAATCGTGATCTGAATTGGATTGTGGAATTGGGAGTACAGCTTGAGATGGAAACTAATATTTGATATAGAAACCGGGTCCATTTGTATTTCAATGTATGAAACTTCTAATGAGAAATCTGTGCCCCACTACAGCTGATATATGCCCACAATATTGTGAAGGAAGCTTACAGTCATGCCTCAGGCTGTTTCCAAATTTTCCTGGGAAGTCTGCCCAGAATGTTGATAGATTTAATGGAACGTACCCTAGATTGTGGGATTTATGAAGGCCTACAGGATAAAAATACTACAAAACCATTCTAACTGATCATTGACGTTACAGATGCTTGTGGAAAATTAGGACAATTTAAATGGATATTTAATTTGAAGGTTACTTGGATTTAGAAAGACAAAAGCAATGGGAGTTAGAAAGAAGCATTACAAGAAATTAGATTGAAGATTGAAGCAGTGTCACACTAGAACCAGTACACAGATTTGTCTATTGAGGACAAATGATTACAGAAGATGGTAACAACAGCAGTGGACCTGTCTGGCTGCTAAGTCAGGGTATATTCATGGATGGTGACGGAGAGGTCTGGGATATTGGTCGATTTGTATTATCCCGTGAGTGAGACCACGGCAGGTTATTTTGCTTGATTAAACTGTCGGACAATTCTCTCCATGTTTTGGCAGCAATCCCTAGATGTTAGTGAGGAAGATGTTGCAGAGTGAACATCTAAAATTCTTTTTAAAAAGTCCTCACTGTTAATGTACTCTTAATACATTTAAGTTGGCAGATCCAACTTTATGAACGATCTTTACAGAGTCATTTGCAGTCCACCAAAGAAACAAGCAGACAAAAAAAATGCTCATTTCCTTCTCACTTACCTTTCAGACACAAAGATTCAGTCCAGCAAACTTGAATAGCCTGGTATCCATTTGTCTGGACAGATACAAAAAGCAAGGGGATAAAAATGCTTCTTTACATTCAAAGATTAGCAATTCTCATCCATTTTAGTCTTCAAAAGTCAAATAATTTATGATAAGGTCAATTTAACTACTCAATGCAGATTGATGGTTCAAAGTTAAAATGACAGCAATTTCTATCGATGTTCTTCAACAAGGAAGAAGGGCTTTACAATGGGTGTGCAGTACATTAATTGTAATTATAATAATTTATATAAAGGGATGAGCATTAGCAATATGACCACAACTTCTGAAACAGGTTAATATTTTAATGACCTATGTCTGGGTATTAAATATTATAATGGTAATTAATAACCCCGGACCGAACTGCTAATGTCCCTTATTAGGAAAGAAGCCATAAATGGTGTGTTATATTAGAGATTGTGACACATTCATGATGGTTGTACTGGCATGACAGTATAATTTTCTTTGGCAGCCAATACTAACCATTTACAAGTCACTCGACAAATGTAGACAGAAAAAGAGTTAGCATTTCAGGGGATGACCAGTCATCAGAACTGCAAAGAATTATAGATGCCACAGCTCTTGTTAAGTACTGAGGCAGGGAAAATACAGAAGCCAAGGTACGTGATGAGGAGAGATTAATTAATACATGACACAATAGTGCAAGGCAGAATGAGTTTGTACCTGGACAAGAAAAGAAACAAAAGACAGGTCTAGAGATAGTGTAGAAGAGAATTGGAGAACCATCTGTAAAAGCAACCAAGTAAACAAAAAGGGCAGAGATTATGATCTGAAATTGCTGAACTCAATGTTGAGTCCAGATTACTGTAATCAAGAAATAAGATCTTATATTGAGCTCCATTTGAGCTTTGTTGGAGGCCAAAATCAGAGTACACAAAATATAGACAGGTTAAGCAAGCAGGCAAAAAAATGGCATTTGGGAATTTATTTGGGGTAAGTGTGAGGCTGTCCACTTCAGTGGGAAGAATAGATAGGAAGAACATTAGTAAAAGAGATTCTCCAGAATACTGGAATAGAGAAGGATCTGGATATCAGTGCATGTGAATCACAAAAATCAGCGCACAAGTGCAGCAAATAATTAGGAAGACAAGTTGAATGTTGGTTATTGGAAGGCAGAGAGTATACAAACATGCAAGTGTTTCTACAAATACAGAACACTGCTAAGACCAGACCCAGAGTATAGTCTGAGTGCAGTTTTGGTCATTTTCCTCATTTTTATCTTTACTTAACAGGACATACATTTGCATTGAAGACATTTCCTAGGAAATTCATGAGGCTGATTCCTGGGATGAAGGGGTTGAATAATGAGGAAGGGTTGAGCAGATTGGGGCTGTTTTATAGAAACATAAGATTCTGAAAGGATTTGACAGGACGAATATTGAAAGGATGTTATCTGTTGTGGGGGTATCTAGAACTAGAACACAGTTTTGAAATAAGGAGAGTCCCATTAAAAATAAAAGGAGAGGGTCTTCTGAGGTTTGTCAGACTTTAGAATTCTTTTCTAGATAAAGCATTGGAGGCTCAGTTATAGAATAAAGTCAAGGCTGAGTTAGACAGATTTTTAATATTAAAAAAATGCTGGAGAAACTCAGTAGCTGTGCACCCCCTAACTTTTATTTCTGCTGCACAGACCTACTTGGTCCATGCAAGCAGCGACTCCTGCACGCAGAAGTCAACGCATTAGCATGCTGATTGACATGCACAGGACCTCTGAGCTACGCAGCTGAGAGGGGCCATTGCTTAGCAGGTCTGTCAGCATCTGTGATGCAATAAACAGTTAATATTTAGTGTCGAATATGACACTTCTTTACATGTTTCCAAAGAAGTGTCGTTGTACTCGAAACGTCAACTCTGTTGCCAGGTTGCTGAGTTTCTCCGACACTATATAACTTTATTTGATACCTCCGGCATCTGCAGTACTCTGGTTTTGTTCAACAGATTTTTGATTGACAAGGGACTCAATTGGGTGTGGAAGGGACAAGTAGGAAAGTGAAGTTAAAACCACAGTCAGTCAGTCACACTTGTACTAAATGATAGAGCAAGTTCAAGGGACAAATGGCTGGATCCTGCTTTTATGTACAGATAATTATGAAGAGAGGTCCTTATATTTTTCCCATCTGACAATCTTCAAAAGAGCTTCAATGATTTCCATGTTCAGTCCTACTATGTAAAACTGACATTAAATCAGGGAAAAGTCCATTTTGATAATTAGGAATAAAGGAATCTGTTTTCACCATAGTTTAGAATTAAAGTTATTACACAATTAATCCTATAGAGTATAAAATTTATGCTGACTACTGGAAGCTGGCAGAGTTCTTTTTGGAAATGCCGTTTAACAGCTTTATTAAGTGACCCAAGTTAGACAGTGTTCTTTCACACAACAGATTTACTAATTTAATTGCTAAAAGTAACATATTCCATCCTGATCTTTTCCTTCTACAGAATTCATCTTAAAGGTTACAGTGGGACAGCAGGCAGAATAAGCAGCCTCAGCCATCTTGGAAATTATTTTAGTACAAAAGATTCAGACAACGATAAATGTCTTTGCAAATGTGCACAAATGGCATCAGGAGGTAAGAGAGAAAATGGCACTTTTTTTTAAAGAGACATGCATTGATCCTTGGAAAACATGCAAGGTTGTTAAAATGTGAGCAGAAGCGTAGACGACTAATTTCTTACTTATTTTCTATTTTCGTAAGTTTCTGGGCATTTTACCTGACTTTTTCGGATCACATGCCAGAATTCCATCTGCTTATGATTATGCAGATTTATGGTGACTAAATAAGTCAAATTATGTTTTTATTGCATAGGATGCTAGGATATTTTCAGCATGCTTCGTAGTGTTTTGGGGTCTGAATTCCACATTTCTAGTTATTTTCCCATGAAAACCACAAATCAGTAACTTTATCAGTTGCCAAGTGGAGTTTGAATGTCAGCCTCCCAAAGCTGTTAGCTAGACTATGTGCTTGTTCGGTAATTTGAAGTGACAGTCTGAGTTAATATTAAGTACTTATGTTTGTAGTTTGGCGCAAAAGGATTTATAGATATAGACATTGCAGAAACACTACACAAATACAAATTTGCAGGCTTGGAGTTTCTTTTGCACTAAAACGTTCTCCAAAGTGGCTTGCCATAAGCAAATAAATGTTTTGTGTTGTTTTAGTTATTTATACACTTGGGTGCCTTGCACATGAAACATCTCAGATTAAATGAATCCAAACATGCCCAGTCACCATTGTGCACACAGATCAACATGTCCCATTGTCAATGTATATTTCGCAGTCACAATTCTCTGAAGGGTGGAGGAAAACACACAGGATTTATCTGTTTTAATGAAAGGTAACAACTTGAAACATTATTGTATTTCGCTCTCCATTATGCTGCTAGACCTGATATGTATTCCCAGCACTTTGTTTATTGAAACAATTCTGTTGTTTAAAAATATATTCTCCCTTCTACACAATTCTGATTAGAACCAAAATTGAAACAAATTCTCAAAAATAGCTGCCATCACAATTTACCATATCCCCACTGCAATTAGCTAGACAAATCTCGTTGTTACTTGAGTGCCTTTAGTTTAAAAATGCTTTGTTTCCCTCATTTACTATATTCTACCCAAAATAAACCAACACTAAAATCTACAACCTCATTCCAAACTTCATGTAAAAGTACTGCAATTGGACATCACATTCTAAACATTGCATGTTGTTAAAAATAGGAGATTATGTATTGTAATAAACGAATTTATCTTCGGCCTCCATTCAGGGGAACGAAAGGGGGCATCCCCATTTGTCATTTTCTTGCCAAAATTTGCCATAATCATGATGTGGCAATTCAACTACTTTACCTGCAAAGTAAAGGCTAGGAATGGCAGACTATTATTATTAAATGTCATAGAAGTAAAATAGAATTTGTTTGCCATTGTCATGCAAACTTTAAAAGATTGTCTGTGTTTCGAGACTGCAACAATGTGTACAGTTCTCCAGCTTTCAAATCTTATTCCAAGGAAATATTTTGACAGTGACTGCCATCGTATGGTTAGAGTTTTCTGTGCATTACTAAACGGTGAAATATAGTAAATTAAAAAATATATTAAAGTTGAATATTTTAAGCATGAACAATTAAAATGTAAAACCATACATAAATTGGACAATATCAGTATTACTTTGCTACCAGTAAAATTGGCCTTGTCCAATTTTCCACAGCAAACTCCTTCTCTTGAATAGGTTGGAGGCTGTTAGTTCAGCTGTTGCATGACAGGAGATACTAAACCACTAGCACAGGAATGTTCCAATATCCAACAGCTGCCTGTTACCAGGCTGGTATCTCCCTTATACAACATTAGGCTGAAGTGAAGGTGAAAAAGAGGAGCAGAAGTAACATTGGCATCAGGTTTGAAGTACTGACAAATTGTAAATAGGAGATTTTTAAAATTTATTTCCTGGGAAAAGATATGTGGAAAGAGAATTGGCACTGGGAGAATCACAAGTGCAAATGTACAGTGGGTTCTCACAGCTGCAACATGAGAAGGATCCAAGTTGTTCATCAGCAGTTGTTTACGAATGGGAGGTGGTATCTGCAACCAAGTTCGAAGTAAATTCTCAATTTGCACATAACCTTTTTGTATGTACCCTGCTTTTTTTGCTATCATATTTCTGTCAGGCTCCTCCACTCTCCTGCATGCTCTCGATATCTTGTGACATGGTGTGCAAATACAAAATAGGGAACAGAGCAGCAGTTCATGGCACTACCATGTTGGTATTCTTCATACCCAAAGTCAAAAACTGGTGATCATCAATACCAAACTTGGACAATTAAATTCTGTTCTCCATAGATCACATCAACAGGAATTCTGTCCTAAGAGGCCATTTGACTCAACATTCCTGAGCCAACTATTTCCCCATTCCTTTACAAATATATATTCAATTTAATTTTGAAAGTTATCATTCATTTGTTTCCACCATCCTTTCAACCCAGATAATAAAATCACTTGATTAAAAACAGAATGGTTAATTTCACCTCTGGTTCTTTTGCTGATTATTGACACCCTCTATTATGAGAAACAGTTGCCCTTTATTCACTTTGCCTGAACTCTTGGTAATTGTGAACACCTCCATTTGATTAAATTCTCCTGGTTTAAGAAGAACAATGTAAGCAGCCATAGTGTCTGCACATAATTGAAGTCCTTCATTTATGGTGTCATTATACGATGTCAGCAATTAAATATTGACTTGCATTTATATAGCAACTTCACTGTGGCCATTTTATCAACCACATGATGCCTCTGGCAACCTCATCTAAAGACAGGCCGTCAGCTTCGATAGTTCATACGAAGGTTTATCTTTTCACCACCTCTGTTAGAAGAATGCAAAATCTCATCTTGGTAATTTCTTTCACATAAACAGTGCGATGATTGAAGGGGTCTGTTGTACCTTGCCAACAGTTTAATTAGCTTCCCCGCAACTGCCTCACGATGAAGTAGATTGTTAAGACCCTCAGCATCCTGCTTCATTCAAAGCTGATCATGTGACCTTGGAGATTCTTCATCACAACGATCACCTGCATCCAATACTGGAATATTGCTTGCCTTTAAACTACTTCAGCCAACTGTTGCTGTTGCTCTTATCCATGCCTGTGTCATTCCAGACTCAAACAAGACAATGCTCTACTGGTTATCCATATCTTATTTCCTAATGTGTTGCACTCAACCATTATGGATTGACCTACTATGGTCTCCCAGATAGTCCAATTTAAAAATTCTCATCCCCATGCTGAGATTTCTTTATGACCTTGTCCTTCCCTAACTTGGTGACTTCTTGCAGCTCTACAACTGCTTTACATTTTTTAAACTCCTTTCTCTCCGTCATTACAGCTTTACAGTTATCTGTCTAGGCGTCACAAATGAAAACCCCATCTCTCAACATTCAAAAAGCCACATTTGGTTGCTACTGAGTATGTTTAATATTGGTCAATTTGTAGAATCATAGAATCCCTACAGTGTGGAAGCAGGCCATTTGGTCCATTAAGTCGACACCAACCCTCTGAAGAGCATCCTACCCAGACCCACCCCATCCCTGTAACTGTGCATCTCCAATGGCTAACCCACTTAACTTGCACATCCCTGGACTCTACGGACAATCTAGCATGGCCAATCCATTTAACCTGCACATCTTTGGATTGTGAAAGGACACTGGAGCTCCCAAAGGAAACCCATGCAAACATTAAGGAGAATGTACAGACTTCACACAGGCAGTCACCCAAGGTTGGAATCGAACCCAGCTCCCTGACACTGTGAGGCAGCAGTGCCAATTGCTGAGCCGCCATGCTGCCCATGTTAATTGTCTCATTTCCATCTTGCTAAATATATGTCAGAAGATAATTGTTTTGTATAATGTATTTTCTTGACTGTGAAGTAGCTTGTTAGGGTATTTTTGGCTGAGTCATAGTCATTTTTTTCTGTAATGCAATTCCCTTGACCTGAATGTATATAACTAATGATCCAATCTTCAGTAAGAATGGCCAGACGGAAACCTATTCAGCTGAGAAGAGGTTCCCAATAATCATTTATAAGATTTAACCTTAATTTGTAATCTCCAAGGTACAAAAGAGAACAGAAGTACGACACAGGAACAGGCCCTTCAGCTCTCCAGCCCTGTGTTGATCATCATGCCGTGACTAGACTAAAAAACAAACCTTCTGCCCTTATTCGGTCTGCTGTATCCCTCTATTCCTTCCCTTTTCATGTAACCATCCAGATGCCTCTTAAATGTCACCAACGTGTCTGCTTCCACCACTTCCTCTGGCAGTGCATTCCAGGCTCCTACCACTCTCTGCATGAAAAACTTTCCTCGCATATCTCCCTTAAACTTTTGCCCCTTCACCTTGAACCTGTGCCCCCTTGTAATTGAAACTTCAACCCTTGGAAAAAGCCTCTGACTATCCACCCTATCTATGCCTCTCATAATTTTGTAGACCTCTATCAGGTCTCCTCTCAGTCACTATCTTTCCAGTGAAAATGATCTTAGTCTTTTTAACCCTCCCTCATAGCCAATGCCCTCGAGACCGTGCAACATGCTGGTGAACCTTCTCTGCACTCTCTCCAAAGCTTCTGGTAACGTAGCGACCAAAACTGCTCACAATACTTTAAATGCAGCCTAAAAAGGATTTTATATAGCTGCAACATGTTTTGCCAACTCTTGTACTCCATGCCCCACCCAATGAAGGCAAGTATGTCATTGGCCTTCTTAATCACTGTCTTAATCAGTGTGCCACAGAGAAAAGTGTGTCTGTTGCAGCTTCTGTAGTCAACTCCCATTTGATGTTTTGCACTGTGTTTTCTTCCCCCTCACAGGATGGTGGTTTGATGCGTGTGGCCCATCTAACCTGAATGGATTATACTACTCAGCCGGTCAGAATACAAATAGATTCAATGGAATTAAATGGTATTACTGGAAAGGGTCAGGATACTCTCTCAAAGCTACAACGATGATGATCAGACCTGCAGATTTCTGATTATGATCCTTGTACATAGTTTTTGTCAGTTGTATAAAGATATTTCTTTAAGCAAATCTGTAAAAACATAATTCCTACTATATTTAAAATGTCAACTAATATGTACACCAAGCATTAATATTTTACATTGTTTGTTTGAAAGTCAAGAAACCAGGTCCCAATGAAAAAAGGAAGGTAAACTTGCCTGTGAATTGCTTTGCATATATGTTTTATTGTAGCCAATTCCACTTTATGGAGAAGCATTTTTAACTAATAGAGATAACACTGGGAATACTAAAATGACAACTGAAATTGAATCCCTGCAAGAGAGGTTTATTCGCATCTTGGTGGCACTACCAAATATAGTCATGTAGGAAACTAATTATCTTACAGTTCAGATGGTATATTCATGAATAATGAATACTTGAGTATCATGTCCATGCCCTCATTTCAATAGATTTCTGTTGTTCTTCAAAGGACAGAATGATCTCAAATAAACAAAAACTGGAATTATGAAAGATCAAAAGTACAATTTAAAGAACCACATTTTTAAGACTGAAAGCATCTTTTATTTCCAAGTAATTTTCTTGCCCATCAGTGACCTTTCATTGAATCTTGCAAACTTCCCCCCCGCCCGACAGACCGCAAAGTATATTGCACCAAATTGACTTTGTTTGAATTTTTTTTTCCATTATCCAACAGAAGCATATATTTCTGCTTTGTTCTAGAAACTTTAATTCCAAGTACAATTATAATATAGTCACCCATTAGAAGAGAAAATTTATTGATGATGCTGTCCCTTTGCAGTGCAGTTTTAATTAGTTAGGTAATGTATTTATCGACTTGCTTTGCATTACTTTGAGTTCTTTAATTTAAAAAGAGCAGAGATCAATGAAACACAAGGAATTGTCATGCTTGTAAGTAGTGGCAGATTAGAGACAGGTGGTTAGGATGCCAAGATATTTAAATGATATCTGAACTTGATGAAAGAACATTTTTCCTACTAATTTCTTTAATGGGTGTTGAACGAAGATACTCCCAAATTAGTAAAAAAGACTTCCGAGTAATTGAGACGTCAAAATCATAAATGTTCCTTTTTTTAAATCAATATGAATTTATCATATTGACTTCCATGATCGAACAGTGTCCTGTGACCAAACCAACTTAGTAGCAAATACCTGTTCTTCAGATATTATTGAAGAAATCTTCCACAATAACTATCGACAGTAATTTTGATCATTGCTTTTTCAGTTTTATCCAGGGAGATAGATATTTGAACTACATGGGAATCATAAATTATGGGGAGAAACAGGAAAGTGGTCAAGATCAAATCATCCACGTTCTTACTAAATGGTGTAACATGCTTGTGGGGCCATAAGACCTATTTCTGCTCCTATTCCTTGTTATGTCCACACAAAAGTTACAGTCCTGTTCAATGTCTAATCAAAATAATTCTGGTTTGGTTCATCAAAGGCTTGTTTTTTTTTAAAATGAAATATAAACATAAATATTACATTGTATTTTGTTTCAATAAGAGAAATAGAATTTCTTAAACAAGGTATTCAAGGCATCTTTCACAAAAAAACATGCATATATCTCAGTATACTAAACATGATATAGTTGAATAGGCACCAATGCTCACGCAGGGATCAGTAAAATAACATTGTCAATGCAAGCACCTAAAGGATCACAAAAACCCATGGGTCAACAGAATTAATTTAAAACCTTGAGTAGATGTGAATAAGATATATGAGATTTCATGTGCCTTATAGAATTCATCACCTGTCAAAATGTCAAAATAGATCTCTGACTGATCAAACCAGAACAAGGAGACACAATCTTAAAATTAAAGTTAAACTTTAATTTAACAAATGAAAGCAGGATGCAGATCTGCTTGAAAGGGAAAAAAAAATAACACACACACTTAAGGCAATATATTTTAAAAGTATAACATGACATTTGTATGATCCTCTTTTCTTTGAGCTTCATATTGCTCTCAACAATACTTCAACCTGCTCATATACAGTTTGTTCCTCAAAAAATTATGATTGAATACTTTGAATTAAAACTTCTTTTACAAGTATGTTGTGTCATTAATGCTGCTTAATTCACATCATATTATTAAATGATTTTGGTACAAGATATGTGAAGATGAATAGAAGAATAAAAAATTTGAGTCGGCCATTCAGCTCCTCAAGGCCCGTCCTAGTTGTTCTAGGATTCTGGTTGATCGTTGTTGTTCTGCACCAGGCCTCATCCTTTTTGTGCCAACTCATCATACTCAATATTTCAAAAATCCATTTCCCTCTTTTTAAATACTCTGTTATCTGGCCTCCACAACTCTCTGGGTAAATCATACCAGAAATTCTCTCCCCTCTGGAGAAGAAATTTCTTTGCATTTCAGTTTTAATGTGCTCTCAGTGTTCTCTCATTCTGAAACAATGTTCCCTGTAACTATCCCCTTGCAGATTCCTCATGCCTTCATCAAAACATGCAGCTGCACCTATTTTTGTATCAGCAACAATTGAATTGTTACACGCTGCTCCATTCTCCATGTAAATAATGTAGGCAGTAAATAATTGAGGTCCTGAGGACTGATCCTTCTGACTCTTTGAGTTAAGTCTTACCAATCTGAAAAAGACCGACTCTCTTTTCTGTGTGTTAAGTAAACCTCGCTCCATGCGAATACATTACCCTCAATACTGTGAGCTCCTAACTTTTGCAAAAATAACGATACGTGACACCATATCAAAAATCCTCTGGAAATCCAAACCTACCCATTCCCCTTTATTGACTCTGCTTGTTATATCCTCAAAAAATTTCTGGCAAATTTGTCAGACATGATTTCCCTTTCATAAAATCATGTTGACACTGTTTGATTGCATTAAGCTTTTCTAAATGTCTTGCTATTTTTTACTGTAACTATTGACTGTAAAATATTCCCAATGATGGATGTTAGGCTAACTGGTCTATAGTTTTGTGTGCTGTCTCCATCCCTTCTTGGGAGGGGTGCCTCATGAGTGATTTTCCAATTTACTTGAACCCACTCAGAATCCAATGAGTTCTGGAATATTTCGAACAGCACTATGTCTGCAGCCACTTCTTTCTAATCCTTGAATACAAGCCTGGCGACTTGTCTATCTTTAGTCCCATTTTTTTTTTCAAATAATTTGTCCTTTTGATAGAAACTGCTTGTAGAAGATTAGTCTGCTCAGATACAAACAAAATTTGGATGATAAGCTTAGATGGTCAAAGCACCTGTTTGTAAACAGGAGAACCTGAGTCCAAATCCCAGTCTTGCCTACACCTCACTTTAAAGACCCCTCATTTAAACTTCCCTTGTATGCCATGTTGTTGATCCAACCAGTGATCTGGTGATGTATAATGAGGCAGAATCTTTTAAAAGACACCTGAGGATTGGTTGTAATTTTAGAGCCCTCTTGTAAAGGTAGAGTCCCTACCCGTAGAGCAGGAGGCCTGGGTTCAAGACACAACTGCTCTAGAGGCATATAATAACATCCCTGAACAGGTAGATTAGAAAAATAGGTTAAATGAGAAGCAAACAACTTGTAATTGTCCTGCTGAGCATTTAACTCTAAAGAAAATTAACTTCTGAAAACACAATATTAAGAATTATTAAAATCCTGGTGACAGTACTTGTCAAAGGCAGATATTACCTGAGTCACATTTAATCAAAACTTTCCGGATTTAAAAAAATTTTGCAGTTACATGAAAAAGCATGAAGAAATCTGATCACATTAGGTTCTGGAAAACTTTGATCTTTTCACATATAGGAACATCAATATGTCAGACGAAATTGCAATTAAAGTATGGCTCCACAAGCAGAAAGACAGACACAAAAATAAATAATCTTATGGTTCAGCAGTATCATTTTTGTAATGACAAAAACTGTATGGCAAAGCACTTACTCAGAGTAGAACAGTATGGCAAGTAATTTGTTTTATAGTTAATATTTGAGTTGCACAGAAGTACATCATGTAGAAAGGTAGTAAAATAGATTGAGGCATATTGTTCCACTCCTTTTTATAGCCTCAAAGATCACTTTTTGAATATATTCACTGTATAAGTCAACTTCCTTTTCAGCCATGACATGTTAGACACTGACTCATTTGAAATCTGCTTTTGGGGTAATTTTTCTCAAGGCTTAAAATGCTAACTCACGTGCCAACATCTACAATAACACGGTGTAGAACTGGATGAACACAGCAGGCCAAGCAGCATCAGAGGAGTAGGAAAGCTGACGTTTTGGGTCGAGACGTCTTGACCCGAAACGTCAGCTTTCCTGCTTCTCTGATGCTGCTTCGCCTGCTATGTTCATCCAGCTCTACATTGCGTTATCTCAGATTCTCCAGCATCGGCAGTTCCTACTATCTCTGCCAACATCTACAGCAATCTTCACTCAAACCCCCTTCTGGTTCCCAATAGTGGGATAATAGATTATTTCATTTTAATACATGGAAATCAAATATAACCTGCACAATCCTCCTTATTCTTGAAAGTCATCATTCACATAAAACATGATACGTATTTTCATTAGGAACCACTTTAAATAAAACTTATGTCTTAACAACCAATTCATATTTTCCTTATTCCAGTGTATGAAAGAGACTACACTAATCTCTGCCTCAGTGCTTTGCCTGAAAGGAGATATAACTCCACTGTGTAAGATAAAACACTGTGTAAGATAAAAATTCAAGAAACATAACCAGTGACAGTTTCACATCACGTTAGCTAATGAGGAAATGAAGGCTAAGTTAGGAGGGAAGAGTTGCAAGGTTGGACCAAATATATCAATCTCTCTCAATCAATGGGGAGCTTGGCAGTTCTTATGCTTCTGTATTATTCTTTGGATTCAACACCAGCTTCCCAATTTGACCATATAATCTAGGTTGAAACTTCAGTGGAATACCAAGGAAGTGCTGCATTGTCAGAGCGCTATCTTTTAGTAAGCTATTAAATCAATCATAAAATCCTAGTGATTTGCTTAACATGCAACCCTCAAACAACATTTCTAAACCATCAAATTAACGAGATATCCATCTAATTTGCTGTTTGTGTAATCTTGCTATGTACAAGTTAGCTGTTGGATTCACCTATATAAAACAGCAGTGATAGCCCTTCAAATATAAATTATTGCACCTGCAACATTTTGGGATATCCTGGAGAATTGAAAGGCATTATATAAATATTATTTCTTTAATCGTTTGACTTTTCTCTGTAAAGATTTTCTATTTTTCATAATCTCATTACATCTCAAAATACTTTACACTGAAGGACATTTGACATATAGTCACTTAGCATGTAGGGAACACAGCAGTAAGCCCACACAAATGATAATGATAATAATACTTTGTAGTGACAGTGATTAAACAATAATTACACACCTGAAAGCTTCCCTGCTCCTCTTCAAAAAAGCCCAGTGGGAACATCTCCGTCCGATTGCACCTCTGACAAAGTAATATTCCATTCGTACCATACTACCAGTCTACAAATTACACCCCCTCTTCTTTCAAGAAAGAAGAAGTGGGGTGGTCATTTCACGATGAAAGATGAGGAATTGTGAAGGCGAAAAGAGGTGTGTTCAGGTACACAATTCTATAAACAGTAGCACATAGGCACAAACAGCAATTAATAAAGGTCAACATTGCAATAGCTGTATCTCAAAATGCTTGGGATACAAAAGAGGGAGAAAGTCATGCTTCAGATGTACAGAACTTTGATCAGACCCATCTGAAACAGTGTGTTCAGTTTTAGGTTCAGAGCCTCAGGAAAAATATATTAACCTTGAATGGAGGACAGTGCAGATTCTTTGGAATTATAACAATGGATTAAAGTGTTAAAGTATGCAGATAGTCTACCTAAACTTGGGGGGTGTATTTCCTTGAGGCTAGAAGTGTGATCTGTATAAAGTGTTTGAATTGAGTCAATGCTGAGAAATTATTTCCTGTGGCAAGTCAAACTCAAACATTCACAAGTGAAAGCAGGATGCAGTTTATCCATACAAAGGGAGCAAAAAATCTAGAATTTGATTTCTGAAAGGACTGTAGATGCTACATCAGTTGAAATATTTCAAGATTTTATGTCAACTTTTTTCAGTATTGCTGTATACATGGTTGGATACTATAACGTAATGTGTGATTTATATGAATCCAAATATCATTTGTTTTGGAATTTTGAAGTGTGGCATATGAAGTGTCTGTGTGGCTGAATGGAATGAATGATAAATTTGTAAGTTTTTTTTAAGCTATAGTGATTTCTTTAAAAACACAGTATTTGAGAGAGATTTCTTGAAAAATAATGGGGTTTATTTACATTGGGTTTTTTTTTGCTAGTGAATAACCTAAATGGAAGTGCATTAGGTTCATCTTAAAAGATCAGGGATTGATTTTTTTAAAATTGGAAAAACACTCAGCATGGGAAAAGGCTTTTGAGTTTCAGTTTGGGACACTTTTTCATAAGTCTTGGCTGAAAGTGGATGCATAAAACAGTTGCTCCTGAGTAATGAAGCTAGTTTAGGAGTGTTATGAAAACATTTACCTCAGTGTAAGGAGTTTAATTTAAAGGTTTGAGACCCGAAGTGCTTGGTAAACCTTTGAAGAGGTTATTTTAAGATAAAAGTCTAAGCTCAGTTGCATGAAGGCTCCTGGAAGAGGCTATCAAATTCTCACAACCAGGGACTGAAGCTAAATTGAACCTAATGTGTGATAGAGAAGGGCATCCTCCCTGGTGTGAGTACTGCAATGGGATGCTGTTGGGATTAACAGGATTGTATTTTTGCCATATGTTTTGAAATATTTAAACATGTGTTATATGTAAATAATTTGATGTATTCTATTTTATCTTAATTTCTTTTGCATAATAAACTTGTTTTATTGTTGAACCTGAATCTGCAGCACTGAGTTTGTATTTTAGTGAAAGATCACCATGTTAAAAATAAAACAAAAACACAAAATATGATCCATCAAGCCAGATTTCAGTCTGGGATCTGAATTGCCCAGTTATAACATCAGCTGGGATCATAATAATACTGTACAGTGGGTTTTATAAGCATGTGTTGTGGAGACGGTGGTGCTGAAGGGTGGGTGGGTGGTACGGTCAGTAGTATGCTTGTCATGAACAGGAAAAGGGATATGCTGTTTTATACAAACTGCCAGACTTTGGGATGCATGCATCACACTAGCACTGAAATTCATGTACTGCATTACTCGCTTGAGGGAGAGGAAGAGCGTCCTTTTGTCTTGACAGCATTCTTTTAGTTGTGTACCATTATCGCACTGCTACTGAACAGTAGCAATATGAAACAGCCAGATTCATCTGCAGCTTAAATATTTGAGATAATTCATCCTTCCAGCATTTAAGGTAACATTTTTCAGGCCTTCAAAAGTAGCAGCTCAGCCTGTTCATGACTTAGTAGTGAGAAATGATCTGCAGGATTTCTCTAATGCACTTTATTTCAGCATTGCATTTGCATGGTGAACAAATGAATTGGGCCCTAATTATGAGACTGTTGGTAAGGCTAATCTTTTGACGTAAAATTGTAGGAATCCCAATAAGTATACTGATCAGTGAAGGTAGGTTTGCGGTAGATAGTTGGAGAGACCTGCTGGCTGATTGGTCAAGCAGGACACCAAGAAGAGCCTTGATTTCATGACTGCTGTATTTCAATGGTATTTTGAGTGCATCAATAGGCGAGTTGGACCAAAGAGTGCTTTTTGACTCCATGTAGTCTGTTAAGACATGTAAGGGAATCCTTACATTTGCTTTATTTGGATGAGGCTACATATATCATCTACATATCAGAAATATGCAATGGGTAGCTGTCATTACGTCCTGCTAAAGTCTGGAAGATACAAGATTCAATTCTTAGTCAAATGGTTGTGAGAGGAATAGCCAAAAAACAAAACACACTTGCTCCACTTAAATCTTATCAAGAATGGAAACTTGCAGGAAATCAATCATTAAAGGTAAAGGGTAAAGTTACTATAATCCTACCGGACCAAAGGGGTGCTCTTTCATTAGAGAGAGCCAACTGGTGGTGATTTAAACTGACAGTCACCATGATTTGGGGAAGGGGAGAAAGTTGAGAAGAGGTAGTGTGGGAATTGAACCCATACTGTTCGCATCACTCTGCATCGCAACTCAGCTGTCCAACCAACTAAATTAACAGATGTCCTCCAGATTCATTATTGTTATACAAACAGTCAATGCTAGAAATGCTCAGCAGGTCTGGGAGCATCTCTGGAAAGAGAAACAGAGTTAATGTTTGTGGTCTGTTTTTTAAAAAATCAGAACTGGGAAAAGTTGGGCACGTATTATTTTTTCGGCAAATCAAAAGGTGGAAGGTGAGAAGAACAAAGGGCAGAGATGAAATGACAAAATGTTTCATGTTGCATTGCCAAAGGGAGTGGCAACATGACAAGGACTAAAATGATGCATTTATTGAGGAGGTGTGAAGATTAGGTCCTGAATAGTTGCTGTCTGAAAGCAAAAGTAATGAGAAATAATAGGGAACAAAAACCAGCAACAATGAGGAAAAAACAGGGGACTGAGGTTACAATTGTTGAACTCAATGTTGAATCCAGAAAGCTTTAATGTGCCTATTCACAAAATAATATGATGGTTCCAGAAGCATTACTGGAACCTTCTTGTGCTGTTTGGTGATTTGCAGCAGAATTCTGGTAGATTTCATTTCGGCACAAAACAGGAGTACTTTTGTCAAAAATTAAATGACCCATTGTTACCTAAAGCATCTACTTCATTTATGCACAGTTAAACAATCAGTATCACCAAGTGTTTTGATCTGTATGGTCCTCAAGTGCTGGATGAAAAGATTGGAAGAAATCTTCATAACAAACCCCTATTCCCAAGTGGTGCAGCAGCACAAGGAATGTCAGAAAACCTCATTATTTTAGAGACACTGGCAGTACTCTTAAAGAACCTATGCTGACATTGAAACAAACATGGATCAAGTGTTTTCTATATGATTTGGCTAAATTGAATTCATGACATATCCTCTTGTCTTCACTGATCCCAATGATGAACCATGTTTCCTACAGGTCCTGGTTGAGATGAAGGCATTTAAAGAAGTCCCATAATGTCAGAATTGATATCATTAACAGCCTTTCATAACCACAGGGTATTCAAAAATGATTCACAATGGGATTAAAACTCTTGAGCTTTGCTAGGGCTGATCCATTTCAAAAAAATGCAAAGATCAAAAAACCCTTGCTATGTTCTGTTTCTAATCTTCCTTGGAGAACAAGACAGTGTACTTCTTTCATTTTTGCAGCATTTCTAGAGCCATTTTCTTTTTTAGAAAAGGCCACTCCCTTCATCATTCCTATCCACACATTATCCTGTTATGCAGAGATGTGTGTGTTGTAGAGGTAAAAGTGGGAAAACTGGGTTTTGTTCCCTGCTTCCTACATGATTACGATATTATTATGACAATGTTATTAGCACAAACATTTATTGCCTGGTACCATCAATGCATAGGCCAACACAGAACCAAAGGAACAATGATGGTGTATCGAAGTATATACACCAACTAATACAGGATGGTATTTTTTGTCTAATGTCAGAGCAACAAGATATTGTTACAAACAAAAACAGGATGTTGTTGTAGATTGGAGTGGGACTTCTAATGTCAGGCATTCTAACCCCATCATCACAGAAATCACAAGACATACTCAAAAAACCCCCAAGAGACTTGGTATAAACAACATGAATACCAGTATATTTTTCAAACCATCTTGCCAGCACAGGCATGAAAATGTTACAGTTTTTAAAACCATATATTTCTTAAATGCAGAGTGAAGACCTGTTAAAATGGCTGCCAAGGGATCAAGCAGCCTTGACAACTTTAACACAGACTACCATGCTTCCACAAAGTTCTGAATTGCATTATAATGGGTAGGAATCTCCCACTCAAATGCACTTGCCAAGACAGTACTCCTCTGTGAATTTTCATGCCTGCTTTCGTGTAACTGACTCCAAAACATTCAGATAACCTAGAGTCTAGGTTGCCAGGTTTCCAACATACAAAAGAAGGCTGATAAGGCCAGTTATCCACTAGAGAAGTGAAAAGACCACCATTTGCCTTCCATTGAACATAAATTGGTTTTGACCACATGACTGAAACTGGAAATACAACAATCCAGTTTCTATTCCATATAAAAGACTATTAATTACATGACTGCAACAAGTTCTCTGAAACTGAAACCCTTTTATCCCAAAAGGCAGCAGAGAACAGGGGCAGTCTGTAGAATCATCCCAACAATATAACAACTACACAGAAAGTTTGTGCCACTTTTGCCTTTTCAGAACCATGAGGCTTAAAAGTATTTTTAAAAGTCTAGCAGTCTGTTCTCAAAAACTCCGAGCTCACCTGCAAATGGACCTCCTGATACGAAAGCCATGAGCATCTGCCTATATGACCTGCTGTTCAGTCTTCATTTCAAAAGAAACCCTGCAGTTAATCTAGTTTTGACCCTAGTCGTCCAAATTTACGCAAACTACAATTCTAAAGTGGGGTGGGGCTTCCTCCTTCACTGGTTCTCAAAGACTTGTAAACTGTTAATTATTCTATCAGTTCAACACTTGTATCCTTCTTGAGTGACTGGTGTGTGACTGCCATAGTAGTTAGATTTTTAAAAGGGTGAATGCATGAATAAGTTATCCTCTTTGTGCAAATCCACAGAAATCTGATGACTTCAAATTGATCACACAATAATAGTGGCTGGGAAAGACGCACATATATCTTTAAAAAAAAACACTGATCACGAATAGAAAGGAACAGATTTGTGAGTTTATCCCTCGTCTGTCTGTAACAGAAATATAAATGGATATAGATTGATAGCTGGCTTATAAACCTCCTTAAGGCTCATTTAATCTCTAACCAGTCAGAGCTCTTTACAAAACAAACCAATATTACTGCAGTTCAAAATGCTTTGCAATTTAAAAGAAAAATTCTTACCCCTCTTATCCCTTCTTCCCATCACAGCAGATTGATACAGCACAGGCGGCCATTTGGCCCGACAGATTCTCTGGTAGCACTAATTAGTTGCACTTTCTTGCCTTCTCCTACGCACCTGTAAATGCTTTCCAAGTATTTATGCAATTCCATTTCGTACGTTATTACTCAATCTTTCAGCACTCTTTTAAGTGACATTACTTAGACCATAATTACAATTCACGTACGAGTAATGAATAAAAGGATACACTGACAGGTTAGGGTTAAAAATTGCAGGAGGTGGTTCATAGGGTGCAGGTAGAATTACAACTCAGAGCAACAGAATCCTATTTGCTTTCAGGTTATAGATTCAGAATATTACTTGAGGGATCAATTTCCTCAACACATGCTTTCGATACTGAACTCACCTTTTAACAGCACAATGGATATACAATTTGCAAAAGCAAACTGTAACAATACAACAGGCTGAGTTACGTGCTTCTACACTGCAACATTCTGACTCCAGATGCCAAAATATCTCTGGTAGCTTTGAAAACCTTTTGTTCTCAATTATTATCTGGGCCCGAACATACCTTGGCTAGCAGTTGCAGAGAAACAGTCACCACATTCATCCAACCGCTGATCGGACCAAAATTGCAGCAGTGAGTAACAACTGGAGGGTCAGCATTAAGGAGCTTGTATATGATCGAGGATCAAGCTAATATACCTGGTTCATGCTTGCAGCTTGATTACCGTTGGAAAGTAAACTTGCCAGGATTCAAGTTATGCTTTGCTGCAAGTCTCAATTTACAAAGTGAAGTGAATCTCAGTGAGCTTACTCTTGTCGTACACTACATTCGGTGTGGCAGGCACAACTGGGCAATGGGTTTCACACAGTATAAAATTAGTTGCATTCTTAAAATTGTGTCTGTTTGCTCCTATTTCAAACGAGCAGCTTCCACACACCTGCAAAGGCCATTTGTCAATATTATCATACATTTGTTTCTGTGCTGATTTGGAATTACAATAAGGTTTTGGCTTGCTTGCTGAGCTGGCTGGTTATCGTATATAACCAGCCGAGCTCCAGCTCGGCGAGCAAGCCGACAACCTCATCCACAACCTGAGCTATAAATCTTCGCAAGAATCTTGGAGTTACAATGTTTACCATGGTCCATCCGGAGAAGGTACAGGATCTGTGAAAGGTATGTTTTGAATACTAATGAAAAGTCCTGAGACTTTACAGCCCACTCACAAGATCACCAGTGAAGCTTCACTTTAGTTTAAAATAGCAGCTCATGCAAAAAAATTCAGACGTTGGCATTTTGGTATGCAAAAGCGCGAGGTGAGATAAACACACATGCTTGAGCTACAATTTACTTAAAAAAGGTGAACTCCCTGGTTGATTTTCCTCAGTAGAATGGCTTATATTACTTCGCAATCAAATTGAATTATTTAGCCAACAATTTTGTAAAACAGAAACGACACAACTGGAAATGTCCTGTTACTGTTCCTCAAGTCCCTCATGCAAGATGAATAGCTCATTTTTCAAACATTGAAAATTAACTTTGAAATGCTAGTTTGCAGAAAACATGCAAATTCATGCTAATAATCACGACTATACTATGAAGTTCAATGCAAGGTAGATTTGCATTTTGTAGTTGATTGTAGATAATGAACAACAAAGATTTTGAGCTTGGTGTAAAAAATAGCTCCTTCGATGAAGAACCAGAAAAGTCACGTGTCAACAACTGTTCAAACCTTCCTACTGTCATCATGCCCTTCATGCTCCCAATTAATATTCCTTTGTGAACAAAAGGCTACCAACAGATAATAACTAACTTACAGTCGCTGCTGGAAATTGGGCTGATAGTTCATAAGGCTCTTCAGGAACCCAAAACCCTTGCTCCAAAGACCAAAGAATCTGGAAGACAACAGAAAAATCACACATCTTAGTCAGGAAGTAGTTATCAATGCCATGATAGAAATACTACACCGCTATTAGAATTCACAGAATATGTTATGTTAAAAGGTGAAATAACCACTGAGCTATTCCAAAGGATTCACATTTTTGTCATAGCATTAAATTTTAAATAGAACTGGAGCAGTGGTTAAAAGAGAACATCAGAAAGAAGCAGTAGATAGAAGTTGCACAAAGTTCACGGCTGAAGGTATCAGCATGTGTCTATTGTAAATCAGTGTAGGAATTCATGTCACTAGACTAGTAATCCAGAAACCCAGGTTAATGGTCTGGGGATACGAGTTCGAATTTGACTGGGGTAGATGGTGAAATTTCAATTCAATAACATTAAATTCTGGAATTAAAAGCTAGAATAATGGTGACCATATAACCACTGTCAATCATCATTAATTATTCAATTTCACAATTGTCCTTTAGGGAAGGAAATTTTCCATCATTATCTGATGCAGCCTACATGTAACTCCAGATCCACAGCAAAGTGCTTGACTCTTAACTGTCCTCTAAGCAACTGAGGATTAGCAATAAATGCTGGTCTAGTTAGTGGTGCCCACATCAAATGAATGAATAAAAAATGTGCCCATTTATAAATGGATACCCTTTTGAAATTATTCAACACTAAAACTTAACACACAGCTTTCATTCCCTACCTTCTATAAATTTTCCTTCTGTTCATTACTGATAAATGTAAATATCATTACTTGATTAAGCAATTAAGGCAAGCGCTTTTGTTTTTGTCAAAGATGTAAACTGTCTACTAGGATCACCTAAAAATTTCATGTCTTCAGTGAAAAGTACAATATTCATATGCAAGTATCAAATTAAAATGAATTATAAATAATGAAGTAGTCAAACATAATTATAGAATATAGTCCAAAGATATGCAGATTAGGTGGATTAGCCATACTAAATTGCTCAAAGTGTCCAGGGATATGCAGACTAGGTAGATTAACCATGGGAAAGGCGGGGTTATGGGGATAGGCTGGGTCTGGGTGGGATGCTCTTTGAAGGGTCTGTAAAGACTCGATAGGTCGAGTGGCCTCTTTCTGTACTGTAGAGATTCTGTAATTCATCTGCTTTCCAGATATTTCAATGATACTTTAATGAACTTTATTATGGAACGTGCTTCAGCGACTCTTACAACTGGAATGTCAATACATGGCTTTTCAGTTAAATTAATGAATTTGTACTTGTGTGTTTACAACAATGTCAGAAAATGGAACATCTGAAATGTCATACAAATCAAACATCAGATGTTGCACAATTAAGGCACATCTGTTCACAGATTCACATACTCAGGTACTGAAATAGATTGCTCTGCTGGAGAGTGATGAATTGATAACAAGATAAAAAGGATGAAGTTGAATAAGATTCCTTTTTTTATTATGAAAGGTTGCATTCACTTGAAAGGGTGCACAATCAAATTAAGAGACATGAATCTCCATTTTACTGGTCTGGACTAAGAATTCAGGAGAGGGAAAATTGCAAATGTGCATTTATATAATAGCTGTTGCATTGTCGATGTCACCAGGTGCTTCACACCAATAAATGACTTCAATCATATGGTTATCATTCTGTGAAAACACAAATATCTGCACATGTGCAGGAAGATCTCTTGAAAGAGTTGAGAGAAAAATGGTCAGGACACTTGGAAAACTCTCTGCTCTCTTTAAAATAGTGCTAGGAGATAGTTTACATTTACTTAAATTGATAGATGAGACTTCAGTTATTTCCAACAATGTAGTGACTCTGTGTCAGATTAAATTATGATGTGAGGGAGCCAGTGTTGGACTGGGATGGACAAGGTCAGAGGTCACGCGGCAACAAGTATAGTCCAACAGGTTAATTTGAAATTACAAGCTTTTGGAGCACTTTGAAAACTTGTGTTTTCATATAAACTTGTTGGACTATAACAAGGTGTTGTATGACTTCTGAAAATAAATTATGTAATAATAACCTGAGGAAGAAAATGTATTCGAATGTATATCATGGTGTCAATATGACCAAAACTTCCAGAACGTAAAATAATTCCATTGAAGTATTTGTTTTAAAAATACACATTAGCAAATGTACTAACCTGATTTTTAAATTCCCTTCTACTACCTTATTGCAAGGTCAATGTTGCTGTACACAATTCTTAGCTAAGGAGTAAGTTATCCTCAACTCGTATCAATCAGAGCTAACTGATCACAATGAGGAGGCACATAATCTTGCTGGGGTCTTAAGGTACAAAAAGTTTAATCTCTTTGTGATGCTTTGAATAGACCAAGAGAAAGATTATAGGAACACAATTTTATCCTTTTTAATGTTCTTTGAAGACTTAATATTTACAAAGGATTCAGATTGAGGGTAAAGATGCTGTTTTGACTGATGGTCTAGAGCATGTTTGCTTTCTGATTGGTGTGGAAAGATGATGTACAGCAAGTAGGGGCAGTGAGCAACCAGTGACAGGAGAGGCCAGGGCAATCGCAGGTAACAAGTATTGTGGTGACATCTTCAGAGATAACATCCAATTCGAGTTGATAAGTCACTAAGCGAAGAAGTTGCTTCAGGTGATGTCTTATCAAATTTTTCATTCCTACAGGTGGGATTCACCTGGTTTCTTCTCGATACATCCAATCACGGCACTACCAATTTCAAGAACTCAAAGATGGCCTGGAGAAGGTAGAACCTGTATAAGATCAAGGGGTTGAACTTTCATGAGATTAGGACAAACATCTTTCAGGGAGATTTGTGACTGCTGCTGGGAAGAGTTTAAACTAGATTAGCAGGGCGATGGGAACCTAACATGGAGCTCAGATTGAAAAGAAGCAAAATGAATAAAAGGAAATAGAAAAGTAATAAGCATAAGTTGCAGATAAAGTGAGGCAAACATCAATCACAATCAAAAGTAAGAATAACGTTAAAAGGGTACAATTAAAGGTACTCTGTCTGAATGCATAAAGCATTCTCAAAAAAGGATGAAGATTTGAAAGCATAACTTGAACTGAAGGGGTGTGATCTAATTGCCATTACACAGATGTAACTACAGGGTGACTAAAATCGGGAACCAAATATCCAAGGATGTTCCACACAAGTAATAACCACTCCCACAATTGTTTGCAGTCCCTTGCTCTTTCTTAGTTCCAGCAAACTGACCCCTCATTTTAATCCTTTGATTTAAGATCTTTTTTTCTAATGTACAAATCTTGTGCTATCCCACCTCCTTTTACTTTGTGTTATTCACCACTATTCTGTGAAACACTATTCTACTATTACTATGTTCAATTGTTTCAAAAGAAAAAAAAAGAAGCTCCCCTATGCTCCAGTGGCACAGCTATGAAGGTGAATAAGCTTAGTTCAAAAAATGTGCAGTAGCAAAATTACAGAAACTCTGACAGAATCTACAAAATGCCAGGGCAGCTTATTTGAGTGCTTTTGTTGGCAGCTATCAATATATTATCTGCCCCGCACTTCATGTGAACCAAGCAAACATGAGAGATAATGGAGCAGACTAAACTAAGCAATCGCTAAATGAATATATCCATAATGCCAACCTTAAGGAAAATAAAAAGTTTCAATTTCCACTTCTAACTAGGACTTCCATGTGTATTCTGACATTACGGAACATTACTACGAAAGTTAAACAACCTAAAGACTCGCTTTGGCCAAGAGTTGGAGAGATTGCTTTGTTTCATTAAAAACAAATAACTTGCCAACACGTGAATAAACAGGAACTCGAACAATGCATAAATTGTAATGTCAAGCCCCATTTGTTACAGTATCTCACATTTATGTTTAGTCTGCTTTTGTGTTTAAAATCCAATTAAAAGAAAGCAAGAAATGCTTAAATGGGCCTGATTTTACAGTGTCAGCGCTGGCGCTTGCCATTGCCATTGAATAAATCCTCTCATATGCCCACTGTGATTCCTGTGGCAGGAAAGTTGGCTGCTTTGAAAAAGGATTACCTCCTGGTATGGTTTGCAGCAAGGACCAGTAGCACAGCGTTGTTGTAGGTAAAATAGGCAGGCAGTTGTGGGCATGGCTTATATAATTATACCGCACAAACTGGAAGAAAAAGACTGCTGCAGCAAAAACGCATTAAAAATCACATTTTAGTCAAAATAAACTTGACAAAAAAAATCAAAATAAGTATTTCTAGAAATTACAATAATTTGATAAGATATGTCATTTTCAAAATTAATGCTTATGAAGCAAGATAAATCATTCTGAAGAGACATGGATTAATTCTCCTGAAGAGTCATACGTTTTTCTTCTTAACAAAATTCAGATTTTTAGAAGGTTCCTTGTTAAGAATATTAAAAAAAATCAAGGTTAACTTTTGAAGTGGTATGAGCCTTGTTCGGTATTCCCAAATTGAGATAAAATTTACTTCTGAATTAGTGAGGAATTACTCACATTCACATTAGTTTCAAACTCAGGCATGGATTTTCCTACCTCTGATCATGTTGGAACAGAAGTTGGAAGGTGAAGGGAAAACGTAAAATTAGCATATGGGATGTGGTTCTGCAATTGTTTTTCAACAAATTTATGAATGAGCACGTTTTAAGCTGTTAAGTAGGTTCTATTGTTACTAGAAGGTTCATTGGTTCTGTACAGAGTGAACACTAGCTAAATGGCATGGAAAGGCCACAAGTTAGTGTAGAGGGCATGAGGGACCATTAGGAGAGGCTGGGATCTGGCTTGGCATGAAGGCAACATGGGTGGATAGAGGGCTGAAAATATAGGCAAACAACAGGACCTAAGTTCCAGCAAATCAAGGTCGGTTTCTTAAGCAGCCCGCCTTTGCATTTGACTGACCTCATAGATTTCTCTGATCTACACTCAGCAGGAGAGTCAAATTGACCCTGCATCCTACCGCTAGAGCAAAATTTGGGGCACTTCCTACTGAGACAGATATGTTGAATGCTTCCTGACTCTAGCTACTTAGAACGAAAACTCAGCCA